ATTTCTTCATTTCCGATATCCCATATGCAGTAAAATGATTGTTTGCACGGGCATATTAGTTATGTCTGGATCGACTTCTTTGCTTTCATCGACGCGTACTGGTCCGTCCTGACTGTAAAAGATACCACCGGCACATTTTCTTACTGTTGGCTGAAAAGAGACTGCTCACTGGCAACTATCTAAACGGTGCTTTCAATCAGCTAACTTAATAAGACCAGGAGCTCTACTGCTGACACACAGCTTAAGCTTTTGAGGGTCGGTTTTATGAGATGATAATTTCATGTTTATTTTGTCCTTTTTTCCTGCATAGTTTTTGGATGGGCATAGTAGATTGCAAGATCCGTGATTTCAGGTTCATTGCATTCATGGCTAATTCGCTACATTAGGCCCCTCGCCCATAGTCTCGTATTCCCCACTGACGACATATAAAGTTATATGCTTTAATCGAGTTGGATAGCTGAAGCAGATAAGGTCATGGTTTATCTATACATCGAAATGGCCTGAATCAGGGCAAGTTCTTTGTTGCGACTGGGAAATTATACTGTCCTCTCCAGGCTAGATCTTTGCACTACTAGTTGAGCTAACCGCTTTGGATGTATGCATTGACAGCATACTGTCTCAAGGTTGTTAGAGATCCCTTTTATAGCAGTAGCCGCGACATTATCAATGACGAGCTACTACCAGAATCTTACATACTTAGCCTTCTTATTTAGCAGCCACGTTGTCTCCTGTGGGCAATCCAGTTAGCTTAACTATTTGCGGCATTCTGATACTGAATGGAACCGGCTCGAACCCTCACTCCAGGTATTGCCCAGATCTTATGCACTCATAGGATATTTGATTTTAGGCGATTGGCGCATTTAAATGATACGTCTGAAATGCCCCATCTTACAGTGCTCTATAGTAAGACCACTAATTTACTGGAAGGAATAAGTTCCAGATTCCATTACCCGCTAATATTGTTTGCCAATAAGTTTAACTGCAACAACTCTGAGCTAAGTCTTTCTTGCGATAGATTGTGCCTTATAGTAGGGATCCGGGAGAAAGTATAGGACGTTAGAGAAGATCGAGCCCAGCAAAGACAAATCATGTGAGTTTTTCGGGAGGAAGCACATTGATCTGAAATCCATTAGTTATCACAATGAAACTGTGATGAGGAAGTGAGGATTTAAATGACAAGCAGTGTGTAAAGTCCCCAGTGTTTCCACTTTACTGATCCACACTTAATAATTGAAACCCGATAGAAATATGCATGACACAGCCTATAGCCCATCCAGCGCACTGTCCAGCAGAGGCAGTGCTCCTTGTCTGTTTTAGACTCGGCACCCATCAGAAAGGTCACTCGGCATACATGCATGTCTTTAAACGTAGTTGAGTTTTCACAGTTGAAGAGATTGCACGAACTTCAACTAATTGCACCTTGTGTAGTGTATCATAGCTAAGACATTAACAGTCCAAGTACAGAAACCCTGTTTTTAGTATTAAGTGTACTGGTCACAGTTACAATGCCCATTTCAAAATCATCACACAAATACAGTGAGTTTCATTTATGATCCCAATACAAACCATAGACTGGTTCTGCCCACATGTTTGGCTCCCTATTGAGTAATCATTACCTGCTAGATGATTTCTTATACTCAATATTTTGGCTTGCGTTGTAACAATCCATTTTCTTCAGAGTGGTGGTAACTCTCAGTACTGTCGCTGCAGACACTGACCTACCTAGAGGCAGTTACTAACACTGTTTAAGAGAATGCGTATATTGCTACACATGTAGCATGCAATGAAACTTACAAAGATTCTGCATTACTGCCCACCGGCAACTGTGATTGATGTCAGGAGTCAATTACACTCATGTGTATCAGTAATAGTGTCCAAGTTTTAGAATGCCCAAATATATAACAAGTTAAAACTGGAATACTGAACGTAAATACTGCAGTGAGAAGATTTCACAAAAACAAGCCTGCCCCATGAGGGATTCAATCCCATGACACTGACAGTCAAAACACCATTAATTCCTAGCATGTACCGCTAAATCTGTGTATCGCCAATAACTTATGTGCTAACCTGTATATCTATAGTGCCGGAATATAGCGTAGATAGAACACGCACACAAGATAACGCACTACAGTAACCCTCACTGCACACTACACAAGACATTAAACAATCCGCCCATTCTTGATTTAATTTGAAGACTAGAGGAGCTGATCCAGAATAACACCAACAAAACCATACTATTTCTGTAGGGTGGGAGTGCAGCAGCACAATTGTGCCCAATGAACTATGTGATCAGGTCTGTCTTTGAACTCTCATTATCAGGTGGTTTGTGTAGGATGACCATAAAATGCTAGACAGAGTGTGACGATGCTAACAATTATCGGCACTTCATATATGGTCACTGAAGGGCCACCTGCTGAACATGAAGACTTGTGTACTACTTTGTCAATATACATCCATATAAACAGCTTGCCCGACGAAGAGACGAATTTTTTGACGCAGATAGCACAAGTAGCCTGAAAACTTTTACAAAATTCTTCATGTAACTGCACGGCCCCCAACGTGCTTTTTTTTCCTCTCTCTGAGATTATCGGGTGTAAGGCATATTATACATGTGTATTCAAGATGCATGTCCTGATGATTAGAATTCCCAATATTGTTGAACCATCCTGATTTTTGACCAATAAATGAAGTAAATAAATTGGAGATCCTCGTAACAAAAAGCGAGCTGCCCACATAGAGGTATAATCAATCCCATGGGACACACTGTAATCTAGGACCTAGTTGCGCATGAGTTACCATGGGCAGAAGAGTTCATATGGGTAGTGACTCACACATACCACAATGCTAGGCTGCTCTTCATATGTATGTCTACAACTCTCACTGAGCTAGATAATGGATATTTCTGATAGCTCATGTACAAATTTCTCTTTCTACCCTTGGACGCCAATGGCGCTAATAACAGTAATGATAGTATGTAGCACACCCTAATAATGTCATGTCATTGCTACAATACGGTCACATCATCCCCTAGTCACTATGTAATGAGCTATGCGCACTAATGGATGATAGCTTCCAGAGGCAAAACGACATTATAGGCGAAACACTTTACAGTGGATCACTCGCTCCCACGAGACCTGGCAAATATTAATTCAGCCAGATGACCATAGTGACTCGCAGCCTAGTTTGCCCTGAGGAAGTGCTCAATACTCGTTCTTCTGTTGACACCACACGAGGTAGCGCGAGATCGACGCCAGCAATTGACGGATATAGCCGGCGCCTCTCATCTAGAAGCTCATAGTTAGAGTGTGTAACTATATACGCGAGCTTGAACGACTGACGGTTTGACAGGCGCGCCATGAGCGGATTGCTGCCCCAGGGAGCTTGGAGCTCTAGCTACCAACTGGTATGCCGTAACAACTTACTAATCACTTGAATTAAAAACCCTGGAAGTTGTGTGTCTATGCTGAAGGCACCATAACATTCACAACATTTCAAGCCATTTCTCCCAACAGCATGCCAAATGATAAGCTCTAGCTACTCTTAGCAGACTGACAAAGATGTAACCAGGATTTGCGACCCATCAGCTCTGATTTGCTTGTGTTTTTATTCGCCGCGCTCATTATAAGCAAAGGGATTGTAATTGATGCATAATTGTCACTTCAATTGCCCACCAAAGAACATTCTTACATACTCAACCAGAGCACATATAAAACAAGCAGCCATCTCTGAGAATACATACATTGCCGATACCGCGTAGATGAAACAAGCTTAGAACTGCATACTTAAATAGAACCATTGCATATAATTTTCCGTCGCCAATGAACCTGCATATTATAGTAAGCCTTTTGTAGCTGTGCATTGTTTAGTATCGATATACGGGTTGGTGCCGCATAAACACTGGTTAATGTCGGGTAATATACCACGCTCTTGATGGCGATCCTCCTAGAGCTGCACTAAGGGAGTTTCTACAGGTTGACAACCAACACTATGACTGGTTGGTTTTAGTGCCAAATGCAGGAACCGATGTCTAGTCATAAGCGATGAGCATAGCTTAGTCACACAACCCTAGCGCCAGAAATAGTTAGTAAAGACATGTTGAAAGCCTGGCAAGAAATCCAAAATAGGATCAGCAATAGGTGTTTAGTGTTTGTTTAACTGCAGGAAGATTATAGATACTTTGAGCCTGTTATAGGAAAGTTATACTGCTTATAGAAACACTATACACTTAAACATTTGCACTAAAACCATGTGTGACGTCGCTTGTAGAAGACACTTCACTAGGACCACGAAGCGATGTTCCCCGTCAACCATCAACAGGTTGGTTTCAACAACCGTATTCATAATAACGATATCACCGACCTCCACACACAGTACGATTATTTTCTGTTGTACAATATGCAATATGACTGTACTCTTGACAATTCCTTTAGTACGAAACTGCGGTTAGTAACGTCGAATTGAGGTGGTCCCCATGAGATTCACTTAGTGATGGTGCCACTGTACTGTTAGTGGAGTTAAGATCTCACATGCTTGCTATAGCCATATACTCTGCACTGTAACTGACGGCATAATACTCTCCGCCCCAAATTGTTTTACACATGACACATAAATAAATTAATTAGATGACATGACCAGAGAAGGCGATACTCTGATGGTGGTTTGCATATTTTCATTACTCATTGTTACTGTCAGAGAATCTGATGTGTGTGGGGGCTGGAGCAGGGGAGGAACACCTTGTTGCGGTCAGCTTTGGTGTAGACTCCCTGGGCTGCTGCAGGGCACGGCTGTGATTATCTAGTGGTGAGAAAAATTTTGGGATAATGCAACAAACTAACACTGAACTGATTAATAAAGGTTAGTGCTGCCGTTGGGAGTCGTGGTAAGTCTCTTGTAGTACCTTGCTCTGTGACCATATTATGCGGTCACATCATGCTGTCGCACTGAATGACAATCTAGAGACTGAAAGTATCTGGATTTCACAACTGAAATTGCAGCAATACCTTTCAAGCCTCAGGAGGACACACCTGTCTAATGAAGAAACTGTTGACTCCCCACACACCAAGAAGAGTAGGAGGAGCCAACAGTACACAATCAAAATGAAAAAGTACTAAATTACTAGAGGAATGCACACGTTGTTGTCGAGCGAGTATGAGAGTACGAATACTTCAATAGTTTGCGCGTTTTTCGCAGATATTTAGAACATTACAGTATGTGCAGTGACCGACAGAGCCATAATAAGTAATAATACGTGCTCCATAGTGTGAGGTGAAGGATTAAGCAAAGCGGACAGACAGTACTTACTTACGAAGAACCGTAATCCCTAGGTGCATGCTTACCCAGGCAAGCAAAGAGAGCACATGCTTCCACTACATAATCCTTCCTTAATCCTTTCAAAGATGGCTTAAAGTAATTTATAACCCCATTCATACATATTTTCTCCTTCAAGATCCTGAAGCAGTTCATGTAATAGATAGTGTATGCTACCAAATATCGAACGCTCGCGCGGGCAAAAAAGAATACGGTAAAATGTGGAAATTACACGGACTTCTTCCCACGCTGTCTCTTTGTCTCCTGTCCAGGACGAAGTATTCCCGGTGAAAGTAGATTTCTGTAATCTATTGAGCATAGAACTGATAACTATGAGTTGTTTAATACCCTCCAGGATCATTCTTTTGGACGGATATGTTTCGCAGGAGACGCACCTTCTCTGCTAGAAAATGCTCTAGTTCTGCGCCTGCTGCTATCAAAGTGTGTCCTTAAAGGCACCACACGTGCAAAGCCTTGAATACTCGATGGAGCTGCCATTAAAGTACAAAGAAGGTTGCACAGTGTCAAAAGCTGCACGAGATCATGATGTCCCAAAAACAACTCTATGATTGTGTCAGCGGCAGGGTCACTCATGGCACTAAACCTGGGCCTAGACCGTACTTGACCAGTGAGGAGGAACAAGAACTTGGGACTTACCTCAAGCATTGTGCCAAGGTTGGCCATGGCAAAACAATATGTGACATAATTGCCATTGTTGAGGAGAGGAAAGAAGAAGAATTAAAAAAGAGGTCGGAGGAGCATGCAAAGAAAGCGGAGCTAATAGCAAAACAGAAGGCTCAGAAGGAGGAAGAGAAAGCACGCAGGGCTGCTAGTGCTGGAAGAAATAGAGCAGGTGACAATGAGTGAAACAGCCAACCTGCAAAGCGTCCTCGGACAGATACGCATGTGACTTCAATCAGAGTGAGTGCTGTGTGTGCTTCGCCACCTATGAAGATGATAAGTCCGGAAAGGACTGAGTGGAATGTGTGTGCAGACGATGGTTGCACGAGGACTGTATATACCAACGATTGTTTTGTTGATGACGAGGGAAAGGAGCGACTATGCTTTATATGTCTGAATCCATTTTGTAGGCCAGTCTGTCCTGCAATTTTGTATTTGTCAAGCACTGTTTTGGAGAATTGTTCGTTGTATCACTTCATTGAGAGGTCTCTCTGCCATTTGTGATGGTTTTTCAAGAAATTCCACGCGTATACTTAGCAAGTATTATAGTGCCAGTATAGCCATTATTATATATTGTGCGTACTATGGTGACATCACCAAACATAACCAGCATCATGTTCTTCTAGTAAATGGAGCTTTTCTCAGTGTGCAATAATTCGTTACGCGTAATAATACGTTCGTTCACAAAATGGTACAGTTGTTTGATAACCGGTATTCCGACCTTCCGTGCACCACTTTGTGTGGCGCTTTAAATATGAATACGGAAGTCGACTAAACTAATGCTAGTGGTTTTTGGAACGGAATGGGAATGAGAGTTGTGATGGTACAAAGGTCAGATTCTGGAAGCTTTCCCAGGCTAGGAAGTTACGAACCTCGGTACACAAGTCTTTTCGATAATTGGCGCTACTACTAAGGTTTAGCTTGTGATTACTGCCTCATGAAAGAAACAAAGATGTAGGGATGAATGTATCAGTTTCTTGTTTACCCTTTTTTTCATGTCATGATATCCACCCCCCTCATTTGATTTTGTCCACTTGTGACTAGATATGCATTTAGCAGCCATCGACTTAACAGAGCCAGAAAGACACATACAACAGTTATCATTCACACATCATCAAAGCGAACACAACACCCTGTGACCTCCTAAAGTTTCCTAGACTAGGACAACTTGAGACTCCTTTGTTCTCCAGAGTTTATACATCGTCCTGAAGAAAGCCCTCTTAAGAGCACCCGAAACATGGGATTGGGTTTTTGGTTCAAGTAGAGAATCATCAGGATTTGAAAGACTAGGGGTTATCATGAATTGTGAAATGGTTTGCTCCCATACATATTATTAACCCTCGGCGCGCATGCGCAGACGGTAGTTGGTTTGTCTGTCTGTGTGTGTCAACGCTTATTCTGGCACTACAGGCTACAAGGCGCCCATTAGCATACCAGCAGCTCAGAACTACGCGAGCCTGAAAAATAAAACGGGCGATTTTCCTGAAACGACTGTTTTCGTGAGCGACAAACTGGCACAGTCGCGGACTGCGTTGCATGGCCCAACCGATCAATAAGCGGTGCGCATGCGCGATCAACACGGTATGCTGGCTGAACTCGACCTGATCCACTTGCTCTGTGTACCTCGGAGGTACAAGAAGCCACAGCGAAGGGCGTGTATTGACTCCAGCATGCTATCTACTACCGTAGCTAGCCCGTGTTAGACTCTCCGCGAGCTACTAGCACTAGACTGCGGGTAAACGCTAATAGCCCAGCCCATCATTAGCGGTACCGTGCATGCGCAGTTCGCCGAGGGTTTTTCATCTGTCCAATAGAGAATGTGCAGAACATCAGTACATTTGAGTGATATGTTTAGAGCCAAGCGATGCATGAAAAAGCAATATGAAATGTTAAAAAAGAAGTTCTGGAGGTGGGGATCACCCCGGGGACCTTGCCTTCGCAAAACCAGGTGCCTATAAACTATGGCACTTACACACAACACTAGTGTTCGTGTAAATCAAGTTAAAACTTAGGTGTTACCCCAGAATGGCCTAGATCCATGATTATGTACTTAAGACAGGCCCATGCCCAGCTCCATACTCTGTGAACACGTTGCTGTATGTAGAGGCTTCCAGACGTGTTACCTTGTCCTGGCCCCGGATGTTCCGTTTCTTTTTCCACCTCTGTTTCTGCTTCCTGGCTGCCATTGTCTTAAGATAGTAGGCCCTCTCATCCGCGTCTGCAAAGTTAAAAAACATTTAATGTCTTTGGTCGATAATCTTTAGAGATAAAAACATATATGTTGCATGCTAAAGCTGTCGTATACAATTATCACACTGTGACTAGTTTGACCGATAAACATTGTGAACATGTGATGTACAACACCAATGCCTAAAGAGAATTTATTGATAGTAAAGCGAAACTAAAAGCTGTATGTGATTACCAGAGACAGCAGAAAACTTGACATGGGCCAGAGACACATCATTCACCAGATTCTCCGCACATCCTGACTTGGCAAAGCGGATGTACCCCTGTGAGAAAATGTAATGCCATCTACTGCGTCACTGAACGTACAGTAGCATGTGTCTAACCTCTGATTCCCCTTCTTTTATGTCAGTGTAGGCCACTGCCCCATACTTCGAACATATTTCCTGCAGGTTTGGGATTTAAATCATAAACTGACACAAACACCCATCTCTAATGTACTTCATGGTCGTGGGCAACAAAGTGGTTTTTCTGCACATGCATATTGTACAGTACACACTTCTCATGCACATATGACAGGATCACTAACGACTACTGCTGCCTATTTAACCCATTAAGCACATGCGCAGAAATCCGTGCGTTATTCGCAATCGCCATGCGTGTGTGCGGATTAAGCAAGGATGCGAGCAATCGCGGTAGCCGGCAAGTGTGTCGATTTCTAGACTGACTGAAACTTTGGAAGGGTCTACAGCTTGCAGAGGGGCTCAATCTTGCAGACGCAAGCTGAGCTAGCTTGTACCAAACAATAGCAACGGTAGAGCTGCGGAAATAAGCAGCCACTTTCTTGTGTGCAGGCGCGGAGAGATCGCACACAGGGGCAAGGCCCTGCTGTTAACCCTCGGCACGCATGCGCAGCGAGGGTTACAGTACTTAGTTTGTCTGTCTGTCCACTGCTATTCCACCACTACGTGCTATGAGGCAGCCAATGAGTGGCACCATCGGCTTCAGAACTAGAACATGGATATTAATGTGGCGATTTTCCTGAAACGGCTGTGTTCCAGAGATATGGCCTGAAAAACAAGCGTACGCGAGTGTGCCGGGGCATGCACATACCCACAAGATGCCACGCGTTTTTTTTAGTTGACCAGGACGGGCAAGCAGTTGTCTCTCCTCTGTTAGTTTATGACCTCAAGCGGGTCCGCTTGCTCAGTGTATCTTGAAGGCACAAAAGTCACAACGAAGGGCGTGTATCGACTCCGCATGGTATCTACTACTGCTGTAACTGGCCCGTGTCAGACTCTCCGCGAGCTACTAGCATGGGTAAACGCATAAGCCCAGCCCGATTAGTTAGCGGTACTGTGCATGCGCAGTTCGCCGAGGGTTTGCACTTTAGTGCTCTTTCATGTAGTTATAGTAAGCTGTGAATAACCGAGACTGGAGATCGCTGCCACAGGTAAGCCAAGGAAAGCAATGTATGTGGACAAGTGGCAGAGCGTATATATATGCCTCCTGCGGGGAAGGGGGGTCCGCCTGCGTATATATACGCTTCCAGCGTTGAAACTGTTAAAGGAATGTGGTGGAGTAATTTAGAAAAGTTGGAAACCATATTTCTGTTCCATCTTTAGAAGATTCGCCCTTTTCTACAGACACATCTCTTTAACATCAGCGAAGTGCACATTTCAGCAAGAAATGATTTGTGACTACCGCAATCAAGTGCAAACCTTGGTGACGTATTAACACACAACCCGTTGAAACACACCAAGTAAGCAACGGAACGCAACGAATTCCAACAGTAATGAACGGCGTTTCAGAAGCTCAACGAAACGAAATTGGAAACCCCAACTGTAGATTTGGGGAAAGTTATGCTGGCAGGTCACCATGAAGAAGGTATACTTAAAACAACGAACCTCTACTTTTTTGATAGAGACCAGGTCCTCTCCCTCCCCCACTCCCACCCCCTCCACCATAACCAGACACTTCCCCACATACTCCTTGCCCCTCTTCTTCCCCTCTCCCTCTCCCTCCTCCAGCTGCTCCTTCATCTCTCGGATCTTCTCCTTCTGCAGGTCTCGGAATATCTTCCTCATCTCCAGCCACTCTCTCCTGAGACAAGTTTTGTAGTTATCACCTCAATAACAGACTTCAAAAAGTACAAGGAATGTGAAGGAATATTAGCACGTATACACTTTCCATGTTTTAATAAATCTCTGTATACTGTACACGGGTGGAACGACTGAGTATGTAAGATTCATTAATTAATCAAGACCAGATATGAAAGGGAGCTGACTTGGACATGACTCTGAGCTTCAGGTGTTTGAGCACTGCCTCCCAGTCCCTCTTTTTGTGCTGTCTGTTTCTCTTCTTTGCCTTCTTCCCCCCTGTCCTGGGACCTCCTCCTCCTCTCCTCCTGTGTCAGTGGTGGTCTGGGAGTCCAGTCTCTCCATCCTTACCTCTCCACTGTCACCAATATCTACTTGGAAAAATATATTTCATCTATGATGTCGTGTTTGAGAAATACAAAAGGGAAAGCTATGAGGAAAGTTATCCCTGTGTTAAAGCTCACCATTGCTGCGGTTGCCAATGTTGCTGGGACTCTCAGGATCGATTCTGGTACTTTTGCTGCCAGGTTTATTCCTTCCCTCTTCATCTCCCTCTCCCCTTTCCTCCCCTCTCCCCTCATCCTGTCTCTTCCTCTTCCTGGACTGGGCTGACACCTCTGGACATGCTCCATCTTCTTCTTTTGTGAGGGGAGCGGTTGACAGGCTGGTGGCTTCTGTCCCTTCCCCAATGCCCCTCACCTCCTCAGTTTTCTCCCTCACATGTTCTTTCTCTGGTAGTGTTTGTTTATCTTCTTCTTGTGGATCTGTGGCTCCTCCCGCATCCTTACCACTCCTGGACTTCTTGGTGTCTGGAGCTGATTCTTCACCAATCTCAGGTGTCCCCTAGGAAAGGCAACATGTACGTATGTATTGTGCCAGTGTAGTACACTTGAGACCGAAACCCGGGGGCAGAAATGTGGATTTATGTACTGCACTTACTGTTCCTCTCTTTCTCTTCCTGTTCCCAGACTCTTCTTCTTCCTCCTTTTCCTTCTCCTTTGCTTTCTCCGTTTCCTCGTTTTTTTCGACGTCTTTAACTCCTTGTCTATCCTCAACCACTTCACCTTCCATCTCCATCTTTCCATCATCTTCTCTCCCCTTCTCTCCCTCTCCCTCCACTTCTCTTCCTTTCTCTCCCGCTCCATCCCCTCCACTCTTCTCTTCACCTCTTTTTCCTTCCTCTCTCTCACTCTGTTTCTTGCTTTTGCCACTATCTTTCCCATCTGCACTACATTTGTTTGGTTTCTGCGAAGCCGATATTGTTTGTGGCTTGGCTCCTGCCTTGAAATACTGCAAACAAAAAGCAAAAGGTATATACAGTTTTTTGCACAAATGAGAATGTCCAAATTACTCGCCTCGACAGCAGCATTGGCTTCTTGAACAGTGGCAAACTCAACAAAGGAGAATCCTTTAATTTTGCGTGAAATCTTGTGACGTGGCAAACTGTGGTAAGGGAAAAACAGTATGATATGAAACAAAAATGCTTGCCATTAATTTGAAATGAAGAGCACTAAAGTGCAAACCTTTGGCGCCCTGCAGCAAACACAAGACACATATAATACTTAAAAACAAACAAACTGAGGATAGCAAAAAAAGCAGGTATAGAAAACTTGGCCAGCAAGCAATATATCGTTGCGTTTGTCAAAGAGCGTTTAGACCACTAGAAGTAGTGGAGTGGGAACATCTGAGATCTTTTCTCTGCTTATCCCCGTACACAGGTTCATGTACATAGTATTGCGAAAACGCATGCATGTGTTAGTTGCGAGAAAGAAACAAAATCGCAGACCTGATTACGGATCTCTTATGAAAAGCACTAAAGAGTAAAACACACACGACTGCACTGTGCATGCGCGGTAGCGCTAATTGATGGGCTTCGCAATGTGTATGCGTTTACTCGTGGTCTCCCCCTAGTATCTCGCAGAGAGTCTGACACTGGCCTGCTACACTAGTAGATGGCATGCGTAAGTCCATACAAGACCTTCGTTGTGACTTCTTCTGCCTCCAAGGTGCACAGAACAACTAGATCAGGTCGAGGTAAGCCTGTGCTAAATTTACACACTGGCTTATTCACCATAACTTTCAAATGCAGTACTTTTACGAAAAATGACATTTTAAAAAATCAAGCCAATTTATCAATGAACCTGTTGGTATCGTTATTTTGTTGTCTTGTAGCGCGTAGTAGCAGAACAGACAAACGAAAGGACAGATAGATGTACCCACGAACCAAGTCCCGTAACCATTGTTGTTCATGTTTGCCGAGGGTTAATAAAAGGTTTGGTTTGTAATAGCTACATAATGCGATTCATACACCTACATAATTATTATAACAATGTAGCTAAGGTAGCTAAGTATTCAAAAAGAAGACTGCAAGTGCCTTACATAACAGGCGAGCATAAAGATGAAGAAATGAAGAAGGGTGTCGTTGAGGGTAACTATCAGCTAGTATTCCTAGCACACGAAATGCTGCTTTTAAGGGGGCGGTTCGGAGGTACTCTCTAAACTACATGACCACAACTATTAGTTAAGCAATTACCGGAGTATAGCTACAAAGCTAACATACGGCGCTGAAGTCGTATCCGTGTGTTTCAGTGCGGTAACGCTTGGGGACAAAATATCTCGCGTATGGGGCATCGTATCCACGTAAAACCAACGCGAACGCATTCCAGTCTTTGAGCATTGCGGCAACGTATTATAGCTAGGCATTGACAAATTATGCTGTGCCAAGCAGCGTTGGTGGCGACACCGGAGATTCATCTTCCAGTTCTGAAAGCCAAGTAACTTAAATCCTCCGCTTACTTCACGCACTGACTCCCTCTCATCAAGCACGAAAGCACAAACTAAGCTGTAACACTCCCACTGGTGCGAAACGATGCAAGGGTAGCACAAACGCTAACCCTAAGTGTGTCGCCCCTAGAACGTGTTAAGCAATACTGGGTCGTGTCATCTGGCAAACAATTCTGCTATGCCTGCCGGGAAGGAAGAAATCAGTCATTAACTTTCACATAAGCTACAAAAGCACAGTCATGGCAAGGATCGTCTTTTGTGTAAGTACCAGAATGAGAAGACAAACGCCGACGCACTGAAGAGTTATGATTCTGGTTTCATCCTGTCGCCGAGACCCTCTCAGATCATGTGTATAGAGTCAAAGTACTTTTTGAAAGCAGGCATTCCTTTAGGAAAACTTGACGACTTATTTAGCTACAGCGTAACGAGCTACGTGCTCGGACTGCGGGGCCCTAATGCAGTCCTAAACTGCCCCCACCGCCAGTCCTCGTTCACCAGGCGTGGGCCATCCTCTCGTAACCGGTTTCCCTTCGAGGAACCGACAACTGAAGTCGCACCCCTATCTTCCGTCACAAAATACTGCAGAGTCAGAGCAGGCGTAGGCCCGTTACCCGAACTTTGTAGACTCCCGCATTAGCTACAGCTAAGAAAAATGATAGGAAGAGATTGTGTTTGCCTTCTTCAGATGGCAAATTCCCAAAGATATCCTGAAGCAGCTTAAGCAAGGTATCACAATGTGTAGTGTATAGCTAGTTTCTCTATGAACAGCATGTTCGGTCAAGACCACTTGCGAAGGGCAACACCCTTCCCACAGAGCTATCCTGGGTAATGAAGAGAGTACACTGTTAAAAATATGGTGTTATCTAACACCCCATTTTC